CCTACAACAGTTTCTTTAGCAGGAAATATGAGTGGTATATCTTCATTGCCACCACAAATATGTTATTATTCACTTGATATCACATAATAAACTATACTGATCCAGTAGCAAAATAATTATTTAGTCATCTTTTATAGTACTTCACAATTATGATCCCTAGAATTTATTATTATCTCTATAAAGCCTGGAGCCCATTCATAAAACCAGGCTTATTTTTATGGTTCTATTTCTACCTAAATTTAATAAGAGCTATAATTATAAGCTTGAGTCAAAAATTGAGTGGGAATGGGAATGGTATCTTTTGGTTCTTTCCAGGCTTACTAGCCAGTCTTTGTATAAAAGAAACAAGTCGACAAACCAACTCTTGGGGACTATTGGCGTCCAGCCCCTTGAGAGTCCCCTCCCAGGGTCCAGGAAGAATCTACAACCAGCTGATAATTAATCTTTGATGAAAAGAAATGAATCTATGTACACGAAACTCCTTAGTCAATACATTTTATTATTCTGTCAGTTTTCTCTCTACAAGCTTATACTCTGCTTTCTTTCTTTCTTTTTTTCTTTTTTTTTTTTTTGGTTTTTCGAGACAGGGCTTCTCTGTGTAGCTTTGTGCCTTTCCTGGATCTCGTTCTGTAGACCAGGCTGGCCTCCAACTCACAAAGATCCTCCTGGCTCTGCCTCCCAAGTGCTGGGACTAAAGGTGTGCACCACCACCACCCGGCTCTCTGCTTTCATTTTTAGCTCCTTTCTTGACCAATATCTCTTTACGTTTATCTGTTGTCCCCTCCAGGTTCTATCTTAATGCCTTCATCTAGTTCTGCCCCTTCTAGGTTCTCATCCCTCTAGTTCTTTCCCCTCTCAGCTCCTCTCCCATCTCCTTCTCTCTCATCTGGTTCTTCCTCATCTTGTTCTTCCCCATCTGGCTCTTCCTCATCGTCCATCTCGTTCCTCTAGTCCTCTCTTCTTGCCCTTCAACCTAGTTCTTCCCTGTCTCAGTTTGTTTCTCTCAAGTTCTTACCCATCTAGTTCTTCCATTCTCTTTTTTCTTCTCCCTTCTCCGTTCTGTGCCCTGGAAGTCCTGGTATAAGCAGGGAGGGTCCGAGCTAAATTGTGTAAAGCTATTACTTAACGTTCACCTGACCTAGGCGGTGTCTCCTTGAGGAATTTACCTTAAGTCAGGAGACTTGCATGTGGGCTGTTATCACTGTTAGTCCTTGAAAGTTGCGCGTCAACCTAGGTGGTGTCTCCTGTTAGTCCTTGAAAATGGCTAAGGGAGATATCTGATTCCAGAGAAAGCCTTTCCTGAGGCTGTTCTCCAAACAACTGGAATGTGTATGTCCAGAGAGTGATCAGTCCACACTGTTAGCCCTTCTTAGGGAAAAGTCAATTGGGAAAACTATGAAGGCACACATGATTTTCATAACAGAATACAGCTGACATATGACAAGCCAAATAACACCAAAAACCCCTTGGGATTTGGCTTCCTCTGGAGAAATTCCCTGATCCCTCCAGGTAGTGACTTTGCCATAACCAGCTGAGTTCTTATGATATATTCCTGTGGCCTACAGCAACAAACCATGTAATAAGTCCCTTCAGTGTTATTTCTGGCAGTTCCTGGAGTTGTCCTAGGCAAACTCAAAAATATTTCCCTTTGTTCCGTCATGATGGCCACTGTGCTTCTTATCTCCCACTCCAAGACTCAACTCACATTGCTGCCCTTGACCAGCTAAGCCTCAGAAGTGATATGTCGCTATAAACCATTGTTTGTAAGTATGACCGGAGTCATGTCCAAGACCAAAGGCTTCTCAAGACGTAAGGGACTAAGATGTCACAGCAGGACTTTCTTTCCTGGAGTCGCTGGAGACTGGAATCGTGCTGGGCCTCTGGGGGGTCTAGAAAGAGGCCCTTTGCTTTGCGTTGTCATACTGTCTGCCATGTGTACTGCACAGAGCACTAGCTCTGTGTCTCACAAATTCCTTGTGGAATCATCTCTTCCACTCATACACATACACACTCCTGCTTTTAGAGAGTCCATGGGACCAGCTTTTTTTTTTTTTTTTTAAGATTTTTAACTGGTCCCATAATAATCTTTTCCACACCTGACCCAGGAAGTATCGATGTGGAGAAAATGTAGGCCGTTTGGTGGTCTTCAGGCTTGGAGTATTACGTACCTCTGCTGACACTGTGGTAGAAGGGATAGAAAGGGCACTAGTAAGATTTAGTTGGACAGTAGGGTTCTACTGTCAGTGAAGTAGAATAAAGTAGAAAAGATCAATTATTAGATGCTGATTTGTGGTGGTATTGTGTTCCCCAAAATATTGTGCACGCTAATAAACTTATCTGGGGTCAGAGAAGAGAACAGCCACAATAGTAAACATAGAGGATAGGCAGTGGTAGCACACACCTTTAATCCTAGCATTCCAGAGGCAGAAATCCATGTGGATCTCTGTGAGTTCAAGGCCACATTGGAAACAGCCAGGCATGGTGACACACGCCTTTAATCGCAAGAAGTGAGCCTTTAATCCCAGGGAGTGATGGCAGATAGCAGAAAGGTATATAAGGTGTGAAGACCAGGAACTAGAAGCATTTGGCTGGTTAAGCTTTTGGCTGGTTAAACATTCAGGCTTTCGAGCAGCAGTTTAGCTGAGAGCCATTGGGATGAGGACACAGAAGCTTCCAGTCTAAGGAAACAGGATCAGCTGAGGAACTGTCGAGGTGAGGAAGCTGTGGCTTGTTCTGCTTCTCTGATCTTCCAGCATTCACCCCAATACCTGGATTCAGGTTTGTTTTTTATTAATAAGACCTTTAAGATTCCAGCAACACCGATTTGTTGATTTATTTAGTGATTTGCATAAACCACTGCTTGTACTGCCTGTTTGCCGAGCATGACTCCACCGCTACCTGAAACAGGAAGACCTGGGGAATCGCTGGAGCAATTGGTTGCTGCCCTCAACCTTCTGACTGCCACACATTCTTCTTGCTTGCCCACCTTGGTTTGTACTTTTAAGGTATGAAACGAGGATGCAAACTGGAACCAGGATCAAAGCCTTTCTGGAGCTGTCCTGGCTTCAGTCCACTGGTGACATCCCTCTTCTACTCTCAGTGGTATCAGAGTACTTTTTCCAGAAACATTCCTGATAACACCAGTTTGATGTTCATAATGGGGACATCGCTTTTGAGTTTGTTGTATGAGGGAAATGAGAAACATTTGACTAAAGATGTAGAATAAGTATATGGTCATGTGGTATTGAAAGCCGGGGAGAAAGTTCAGGGTGAACTGAACTGAACTGAAGATGAACCTTGTAACACAAATTGTTAAATGGTCTTATTAATAAAAAACCCGGAGCCAGGTATTGGGGTAAAAACCTGACAGATCAGAGGAATAGGAAAAGCCACAGCCAACCTTATCTTACAGAAGTGTCAGTCTCTAAAGAATGCTACTTCCTGTATACCCACACCTATATACCTTTCTTTTTGTCTTTTTTTTTTTTTGAGCTGAGGACCGAATCCAGGGCCTTGTGCTTGCTAGGCAAGTGTTCTACCATTGAGCTAAATCCCAACCCCTCCTATATACCTTTCTGTTCTGCAATCTCACTTCCTCTCTCCGCCCAGTTACATCACTTCCTGTCTGTCTGTACAGACCTCCAGACCTTTATGGTTAGTGCTGGGATTAAAGGCATGAGTCACCATGCCTGGCTCTGTTCCCAATGTGGTCTTGAACTTACAGAGATCCAGGTGACTCTGCCTCCCGAATGCTAGGATAAAATGCGTATGCTACCACTGCCTGACTTCTATGTTTAGTATAGTGGCTGGCTTTCCCCCCTGATCTTCAGATAAGCTTTATTGGGGTGCACAAATAAGATATCACCACAGAACCGTATGAAAAAAGGCCCAATGACATAGAGTGAAGAGGAGTCAGAGATTCGGGGGACAATGGAAGAAGGTGGTAGAACCAGCCTCAGAGAGGGGCCAGGAGAAGGGTCTGACAGTTCTGTCAAGCATAGCCGAGTTCAATTTGAAAATGGAAAAGCTGCTTGTTATTGACCTACAGTGATTTATGATGAATTTGTCACGCCTTTAACCCCAGCTTTCAGAGGCAGAGGCAGCTGGACCTCTGCGAATTCAAGGCTAACCTGATCTACCTAGTGGTTTCTGGGCTAGCCAAGGGTACACAATGAGACCCTGTCTTACAAAAAAGTTTTCATTATATATAACATTATACATGTTTTCCTTTTGGGACAAATGAATAATTCTGGAGAGTCAGAAAAATGTGTGTTTTAAAATCACGTCTTCCTACTTGCTATGGCAAGTGCTGTACCTCTCATCTATGTAGTAACGCCTGTCCTTTTGACTTTTTATTTTGTGACAAGGTCTGAGTTGTCAAGGGTTTGCCTTGAACTTACTCTGTGGCCCAGACAGGTTTTGAGCTTGTGAGCCTCCTGCTTCAATTGTCTTCTTTTTATTATTTTATTTTATTCAAGCCAGGGTCTCTATATGTAGATCAGGCTGGCCTCGAACTCAGAGAGATGGATCTGCCTCTGCCTCATGAGTGCTGGAATTAAAGGTGTGCACCACCACACTTGGTCTTCAATTATATTCTTAGGCAACATTCATTCAAACTCCCAAAGCTTCCTTTCCTTTGAATTTTCTGGTGAGCTTACCAAAACTAAAAATCTTACATCTTTGGTAGTTGTCATGACCTGAGTATTTCAGGTGTGTGTATGTGTGTGTGTGTGTGTGTGTGTGTGTGTGTGTGTGTGTGTGTGTGTGTGTGTTTGGCATATTTTACATAGCTGTCACTGTGGAACATTCAATTTTTCTACAAAATCGCCTTGTTAGAACTTCAGTTTTATTATTGGAATAAGGATACTAGTACCTCACAGACAGCCGTGATGAAGCAATGTAGGGAAAAAAGCACAGGGCCCACACTAAGGACGCAGCAAACACTCTGTACAAAGAATGTCTTCCTGGAGGGACTAATGGGATTTTTTTTTCTTTCTAAGGGAGAGACTTAAAAAAATTATATTTCAACCTCTCCATCAATGTCAACTCTGTAGAGGTGCCAACGCGCAAAGAAGTCATTTGCCATGGATATGATGATGATTATTCTTTTTGCAGAGCTCTGAAAGGAGGTAAGCATTCGACTTGTGCTACTTACAGAGTAGACCATAATTCTTTGCGAGGCTGTTAGGACAAGGAAACACTGGAGACATGAAGCTCCTTTACTGATAATAATGCTCGGGTTCCCTCTAAAGCTTCACTCTTTGAAGCATACATATTTTACAGTAGTGTTCCCATGTCATTACTAAAATGGTGCAGCATGAATGTGTTGGAAGGTATATTAAATTGTCACCTTTCAGATGAAGATCTCACATTTACTTTTGGCTACTGATGTCTTTTTCTAAAAATTGCATGTCTGGCTTTCTGTAGGCACTTGTCTGGTTTTGCTCTACACTTGTATTGGTTTCTTTAATGATCTCCTCTTTATTTAAATCCTGGAATTGTTGTTATTATTATTACCGCCATCATTGACTTTTGAAGGCAGAGTGTCATTTGAGCCCTATATGGTATCAGACTCTTTATGTAGTCAAGGCTGACTTTGAACTTCCTAATCTTCATGCCTCCATCTCCCCCTCCCACCCCCCCACCCCCTTTTTTTGTTGCTGATGTTTTTCAGACAGGGTCTTTCTATGTGACCCCGACTGTCCTGGAACTCACTCTGTAGACCAGGCTGGCCTCTAACTTGGAGATCTACCTTCCTCTGCCTCCTGAGTGTTGGGATTAAAGATGTGTGTCACCACAGCCCTGATTGTTGTGGTTTTCTGTAATTGTCTCCATGTGTTGCAAGGAGACTTTTCTTTAATTAGGGATGAGTTCTTGTTTTTGAATGAATGAATGCTGTTTATGTAGTTGCAAGTATATTGTGCTGCAAGTTTTTATTTTCTTTTCAAGAAATTAAATTTACTCCTTGAATAGATACTTTACTTGTTCAAAAAATCAAGACATAGCCGGGCGGTGGCGGGGCATGCCTTTAATCCCAGCCCTTGGGAGGCAGAGCCAGGCGGATCTCTGTAAGTTTGAGGCCAGCCTGGTGTACAGAGTGAGATCCAGGACAGGCACCAAAATTACAGAAAAACCCAGTCTCAAACCAAAACAACAACAACAACAACAACAACAAAAAACCAGGACATAAATATTAGAGAGAGATGTCTCACTTAGTGGGTGTTTTAGTTTGTTTTTGTTAACTTACCACACATTAGAGTCACCATGGAAGAGTGGACCTCAACTGAACAACAGCCTACATTAAATTGGCCTGTGGGCTTGTCTGTGGGACATTGTCTTGATTAATGATTAATGTGGCTGGTGTCACCTCTGGGAAGGTAGTTTTGGGTTGTTAAGAAAAGTTGAGATGAATTCAGTAAGTACCATTCATCAGTGGTCTCTGCTTTAGTTCCTGCCTCCAGGTCCCTACCTTGAGTTCCTGTCCTGGCTTCTGTAATTTGTAAGCCAAATAAACCCTTTCTTCTCTAAGATGGTTTTGGTCATACGGCAGGGTCCAGCCTCTTCTTGAGTTCAGGTCCTGAGATGGGGAAGGGATGTTGGTGCAAGGAAACATTCTGACCACCAGGTGGGTTGCACTCAAGCGGCACCTAATAGCTAACGCTGTCTTTATTTATATATTATATTTTAACAGAGTTTTTTTTCCTACCAGGCTTACATGAAACAGCTTTATTATTGTCTTCTTTTTTTTGTCTTTTAAGAAATACATCACAATCATTATAAAAGCCCCCATTGTTCCCTTTTATGCTTCCCCAAATACACCTTCCCATCCCCTACATAACCTTATTCTAGACACAGTTCAGCATTTTTGCAGGCTTAACTAAATATCGAGCCAGACACATCCTGCTCTCACAGCACTGTGTCAGCTGGCAGCTACTTGTGGTTACAAAGTTAAAAAGTAACAGACATGGGTACAGTGCTTTAAGGACAACAATATCCAAAGCCAAACTCTTTGTTGATGTCTGCAAGATATGCTTTTATACAGTTCCCTTTTCTACAAGAGGTCCCGCTTCTCAATCTCTCTGTAAAAGGCAGACTTTGATAAGGCACTCTTTTCCTTTCCTACTATACCATACTTCTTCCACCAATATAAGCTCCTATGTGTGGCAAAGATGATCTATCCATCCCACATTTTACATTGCATTTTCCCTCTTGGAGCATATCAGATCCTATATGCTCGGTGTCCAGGGAACTTACTCTTAACAGTTGGCACTGTGTGTATTCCTGAGGCTTTTTCCCTATTCTGAGTGTGTATGTCTTACTCTCCTTTCCAGAACCGTGAGACATGGTTAATGTTTCAAATGTTGTTTTCTTATGTCTACCTAACTGTCTCTATTGAGTGAGAAAAGGTCCCAGGATTAGGAATTGTAGTTAAGAGTTCCAGATAAGAGATTTGAGAAGCATTAGTCTTCTGCTGAATCTTAGGGGAAAATATTTGAGAAAGAACAGGATTTCCAGAGAACATTACAGCTTTTGCTTGTGTGACTAACAAAATAAAACTAAAAACTGGGGGCTGGGGAGATGGCTCAGAGGTTAAGAGCACTACTTGCTCTTCCAAAGGTCCTGAGTTCAATTCCCAGCAACCACATGGTGGCTTACAACCATCTGTAATGAGATCTGGTGCCCTCTTCTGGCCTGTAGGGATATGTGCAGACAGAACACTGTATACATAATAAATAAATAAATCTTTGAAAAAAAAAAACAAAAAACAAACTAAAAACTGCCGGAAGAATCAATAATAATAATGAAAGAGAAAAGAGCCTGCAAGATGCATGAATTCAGCAAAGTCCTGTGCTGCTCTACAGTCCACTAGTTCTTGTCAAGTGAGAGACCATCTTCCGCGGGCATTGCCTTGTTGAAACCCATTGGACAGGCATTCATATGCTGATCCAAGACTAGGCTGCATGGCTCCCCACAGTCATGATGTTTATCACAGTAACAGAAGCCAAACTGAAACGTTGGATATGCTCTCTTTTTACTTAATATTTGGATAATATATTCATTTCCTTCTACAGCTTCCCATATTATGAAGAATTGAATTAGCTACTTTTCTCATGTTGAGACCAAATCCTGACAAAAAGCAATGTAAGAGAAGAAATATTGGGGCTGGAGAGACTCAGTGGTTAAGAGCACCTTCTGCTCCTCTAGGAGACCCAGGTTTGGTTCTCAGAAGTCACGACTCACAACTGTCTGCAATTCCGATTCCAGGGGATTCCACACCCTCTTCTGACCTGCTTGGACACCATTCAAGCATGTGGTACACGATAGACATGCAGGCAAAACATTCATGCACATAAAGTAAATTATTACAAAAAAAGAAAGAAAGAGAGAAAGCAGGCAGTGGTGGCGCACACCTTTGACCCCCGCACTCAGGAGGCAGAGGCAGGTGAATCTCTGTGAGTTTGAGGCCAGCCTGGTCTACAGAGCCAGTTCCAGGATAGCCAGGGCAGTTACACAGAGAAGCCCTATTTCAAAAACCCAAAGAGAGGGTGGGGAGGGGTTTATTTTGTCTCACGATCTGAGGGCACGTTCTTCATGCTGAGGAGGAATGAGCAGGAGGGCCCTCAAGTGCTTGTTCATATGTAGGCAGATTAGCAAGCAGAGATCAGACAGGAAGTGGGGTATGGATGTAAAACTTGAGGCCTGTACCCAAGAGATCCTCCAGCTAGGTACCACCTCCCCAAACACCATCAGCAACTGGGAACCAAGACTTCAAACACACAAGCCTGTGTAGGGACATTTGACATTCAAACCCTAATAATAATGTAATGAATATATTTCCATGTATAGTTTTTCTTACATTTTAGATTTGAATATTCTTAAACTTGGGAGAAGGAGTGACGGATAACTGCCAGAGATTTCTGGGTTAAATCATTTGAACATATTTACAGTTTTTGTTTGTATAACCCAAGCTGCTTTTCTTTCTTTCTTCCTTCCTTCCTTCCTTCCTTTCTTTCTTTCTTTCTTTCTTTCTTTCTTTCTTTCTTTCTTTCTTTCTTTCTTTCTTTCTTTCTTTCTTTTTTCTCTCTTTCTTTCCTTTTTCTTTCTAAACTTAAAAAAAACCGATTTATTTATTTTTATTTTTATTTTATGTGCATTGGTATCTTACCTGCATATATATGTCTATGTGGGGATGTTGGATACCCTGGAGGTAGAGTTACAGGCAGTTATAAGCTGCCATGTGAGTGCTGGAATTGAACCCAGGTCTTCTGGAAGAACAGCTGAGCCATCTCTCTAGTCCCTGAATATCCACTTCTACAATTTCTACAATGCTTTTTTTTTTGGTTTCTCAAGACAGGCAAGCTGCTTTTCAAACCAATTTGTGTCTCGTGCTGTCTTAAATCAGTATTACACCAGTCAGTTTAATCTGTCTGTGTTAGCATCCCTCTTTATAACTTTAACAATGAAGTTGAAGACTTTTTGTTTTGTTTTGAGACAGGGTCTCTCTATGTATCCTTGTCTGTCCTGGAACTCTCTATGTTGAGGAAGCTGGCTGTGAACTCTTAAGAGATCTGCTTGTCTTGCCTCTAGAGTGCTGGGATTAAAGGAGTGTACCACTGTGTGTGGGGAACCAGCCCCCACTTTTATGACCAGGGTACTCTTGAGCAGGGATAAGTGGGAAATATTTAGAAAGAGATACCTAGACGACAAGAGGAAAGACAGAAACACAGGATAACCTAGAGAGGGCCTGGGTCAAAACCCACCAGCCCAGAATTTTATTCAAAAGGGCTTTTTAGCTGGGCAGTGGTGGCATACACCTTTAATCCCAGCACTCGGGAGGCAGAGACAGGCAGATCTCTGTGAGTTCGAGGCCAGCCTGGTCTACAGAGGAGATCCAGGAAAAAAAAAAACCCCAAAAAAACCAAAAACAACAAACAGGGCTTTTTATAACAATACCAAGGGGCAAGGCAAAATGACCTCCCCTTGCTAGATACAACCAAGTGTAGACCCTTCCAAACATCTGGTACTCAGGCCCATGGCCCAATCATCCTTTATGCAGTCCTGCTGAGTAAAGCCACCAGGAAACCTTGGTGGGCTCCAACAACCATGCCCAGCATGAAGACTTTTTAAA